CCTAGGACAAGTACTCAATCGTGTCACACAGCCTAGGACAAGTACTCAATCGTGTCATACAGCCTAGGACAAGTACTCAATCGTGGCTCACAGCCTAGGACAACTACTCAATCGTGTCACACATCCTAGGACAAGTACTCAATTGTGTCACACAGCCTAGGACAACTACTCAATCGTGTCACACAGCCTAGGACAAGTACTCAATCGTGTCACACAGCCTAGGACAAGTACTCAATTGTGTCACACAGCCTAGGACAACTACTCTATCGTGTCATACAGCCTAGGACAACTACTCAATCGTGTCACACAGCCTAGGACAAGTACTCAATTGTGTCACACAGCCTAGGACAACTACTCTATCGTGTCATACAGCCTAGGAAAACTACTCAATCGTGTCATACAGCCTAGGACAAGTACTCAATTGTGTCATACAGCCTAGGACAAGTACTCAATTGTGTCATACAGCCTAGGACAAGTACTCAATTGTGTCATACAGCCTAGGACAACTACTCTATCGTGTCACACAGCCTAGGACAACTACTCAATCGTGTCACACAGCCTAGGACAAGTACTGTATCGTGTCAGTCAGCATAGAACAAGTACTCAATCGTGTCACACAGCCTAGGATAATTACTCAATCGTGTCACAAATAAGTCACTTGAGCTGTGATGATATGTGTTGTACACATGACATAATCTTCCCATAAATGTTTCTAAACATATCAGATTAAACGTAAAACAATGGTGTTCACTGTTACTTGACAGAGTTTAATTTGACAAGACTGAACAATGTGAGCGGTCACATCAGAAGAATGAAACGTAATTGCCCAAGTAGATTTCAATGGCCACATAAATGAATGTCACACTACAGGCTTGTTTGGAGAATGGCTGCTCCAGTGAACACACATTCAGACAACTGATAGGTTTACTGGCAGTTAACTCAAGCCACAATTACATGTGTACTGAATACATGAACAATGTGCAAGGCTTGACAATAACATGTTTAGCAAAGTGGAACTACTGAACCTGCATGTTGCTAAATTCATTATTTTACCAAATGTGACATTTTGTTTTTATTTTCAGCTGCTAAATGAGCAGATCATCTGTGAGTGGTTGCCTGGCAACACTGCATCTGAAGGAGGACAAACTGATGATTGACTTAAGCCAAACAAATATTTCTGAGTCTGTCATGTGCCACAGCTGATTCTGTTGTGCACTACTGGCTGGTGAATTTCTGAGTCTGTCATGTGTCATAGCTGATTCTGTTGTGCTCTAGTGGCTGGTGAATTTCTGAGTCTGTCATGTGTCATAGCTGATTCTGTTGTGCTCTAGTGGCTGGTGAATTTCTGAGTCTGTCATGTGTCATAGCTGATTCTGTTGTGCTCTAATGGCTGGTGAATTTCTGAGTCTGTCATGTGCCATAGCTGATTCTGTTGTGCTCTAGTGGCTGGTGAATTTCTGAGTCTGTCATGTGCCATAGCTGATTCTGTTGTGCTCTAGTGGCTGGTGAATTGATCCTTATTAAGCTATATGTGGTCAAGGCCCTTTGGGCGAAGAGAACAATATGGAAGTGCAAAGAGATCATCAGTCTGGAGAGAATGTTTCAGCATGAAGTCACCAGTATCTGGGTAAAGATTCAACATCACAGCATTCAGGACAAGCCCATGTCAGCCTTGGCCCCCTCCTCAACAGCCAGCCAAGAGTCTCCACACTGGTGTTACCCGTTGGCATCTGGTCAACTACTTGTCTTGCCTTTCCCTCCCGAGTGGCCCCTAGAGACCACAGACACTTCCCCCAGCAACATTCTCTCCATATGCAGGTTTCAGTATCTTCCGATTTGCTGGTGACTGTATCTCACAGGCTAGAGATCACTTATGCCTTGTGCAGTTGATCCCAAAAGGGGATCAGTCTAGAGAACCTGGCTGTCTGCTCACTCCAAAATATGCCCAGGCAAAAGATCCAAGTTGACTCTCACAAACTGTGACTTCTGGATTGATGTGACCCATTCCAATAGAAAATCATCCTTGAATGATGTCCACCCCCCTCCCTAAAAGCTTTTAAAATGAAGCCCCACCCACTCTTTCTGCCCTGGCCACTGACACATCAGTGTTTGTAATCACATCTCCTGGCCACTGACACATCAGTGTTTATAATCACATCTCCTGGCCACTGAGCCATCAGTGTTTATAATCACAACCCCTGGCCACTGACACATCAGTGTTTGTAATCACATCTCCTGGCCACTGACACATCAATGTTTGTAATCACATCTCCTGGCCACTGACACATCAGTGTTTATAATCACAACCCCTGGCCACTGACACATCAGTGTTTATAATCACATCTCCTGGCCTTAAGTTGTCCTCTATCAGCTGTTGAACCCCAGTGCATGCATGTCCTATTAGCCATTATCTGTCTCCCCTTTCCAAGGTAAAAACCAGTGACCAGTCTGACCCTCAAACTCACAGGAAAGGCAAAACAGACATTAAAAAAACTGCTGCTGGTAATGAAGAAGTTGGAACTGCGTGCCCCCTGACAGATGTATGCGGAGTTCTGTTGGTAGTCTCCTGAGTGCTGTAATGTTTGCCCTAAACTCAAACAGCCAGCAAGACATGAACATCTGCTTGCTGCTAACATGTCTGCTCTCACTGTCAGTGTCAAAGCTGTGTCTGCTCAGTTGAAACTGAATTGTGTCATTACTGCTTGTAAACAAATCAAGACTTAGAAAGTGTGACAAATGAGGCACTTAGTGCAAGCAACAAAGGGCAATAGTTAAAAAAGAAGAGTTATGGATTCTCTACAGCATTCAAGAGTACTTGGTGAAATCTAGGGGGCCACAAATCTAGTCCTGTCAACTTGAGAGCACAATCAGCAACAGCCCTGATCACAAATTGAGCAGTTGTAAAACAATAACCAAGCAGTAGAAAAATGTGTACCTTTTATTGTATACTGCCCTTTGACAAGACATCTGCCTAGCAGACATTGCTAAAACCAGCCTTTGACAACATCAGCTAGCAACATTGCTAAAACCAGTCTCTGACAAGACATCTGCCTAGCAGACATTGCTAAAACCAGCCTTTGACAAGACAACTGCTAGCAGACATTGCTAAAACCAGCCTCTGACAAGACATCTGCTATCAGACATTGCTAAAACCAGCCTTTGACAACAACTGCTAGCAGACATTGCTAAACCAGCCTTTGACAAAACATCTGCTATCAGACATTGCTAAAACCAGCCTTTGACAAGACATCTGCCTAGCAGACACTGCTAAACCAGCCTTTGACAAAACATCTGCTATCAGACATTGCTAAAACCAGCCTCTGACTAGACATCTTCTAGCAGACATTGCTAACAGAATACTACATGTTAACTATCCAAGTCATGGTTTTAACAAACAAAAATGACAAATATAAGTTTGCTAAGGGAAAAAAACAGTAATGTTGTAGATGACAACAGTGTGAAAAATATTTTCTAATGTAGCAGTCTGTAAGAAATTCTAGCCATACAAATGTAGCATTCTGTAAGAAATTCTAGCCATACAAATGTAGCAGTCTGTAAGAAATTCTAGCCATACAAATGTAGCAGTCTGTAAGACATTCTAGCCATACAAATGTAGCAGTCTGTAAGAAATTCTAGCCATACAAATGTAGCAGTCTGTAAGACATTCTAGCCATACAAATGTAGCAGTCTGTAAGACATTCTAGCCATACAAAAGTAGACCGTACTTGGGCATGATTCCACTGTTAAGTACTACACAATTTTTTTTAAATCCAGAAGCCAGACTGCCAGCATTTAAAACTGACTATCATTTGAGAATAGCGAATGTTTCTGCTTCCTGTAGAGGTCATAGACAACTGTGCATCAACAATCCTGAAGCTAAGCACTGTCATGCACTTTGTGTCTTTGCTTTTATAGCGTCCATTGGGAACGACTGATGGACCCAGTGTTTCTGGTGGTATTCATGACTTGAATGCTTGCTTACAGTATCCATTTGTATTTACAGTGCTGTGTTTATACTGGTTTTGTTACTTAAAGTTCTGTCACCTGTCTTGAATGTGTTCTACTGGTATCCCTATGTAACGGACATGTGTGTAGTTTGGAATACAACCAGAATTACACACTGCCTTTAAGTGAACAGGTAAGACTTCTGACTTATATCACCGTGACATTGATATTTCTGTGTATACAACTCTCACAAAGCACAAATCTCACAGATCAATTTTAATCTGCCTAGATGTCACTGCAACCTCAGTACCTCTTCTTATAAATACAAACACTGATATTCATTTGTCTATCGCACAAACACATCAACATATTTCTTTTAACACCACTTCAACACTGTTTATGAAACATCTAAACACATGAAACATCATTGATCACACTGCTGAAATCTCTATTGTTTACACTGCTTTTGGTGAACAACCGATTATGATAGCAAATTCTTGGACAGGCTGTTCCTGCCAAACAGCACCTGGACATTCTACACTAATGTTTGTCAACAGTTATGTCCAGGCTATTGTAGCCAAGTGATGTCACAGTTATCTAATAAACTGAGATGATTCAATAAGTCACACCTGTGTGTGCTCTGGTTGTTTCTAATCAAACACTTTCATTAATCAGACATAAGGCTTGTCAAAGGTTTCAATTTACTGGAAACAAAAGAAAAATGCATGACTAACTGGATGATTGAAATAATGTCAACAATAATGACAGAAATGTGCTTCAATAACAACTTTATAAACTCACGCTCATGCTGCAGAAAATATACATCCCTCACATCTAACTGGTACATTTCTGTTCAATCAAACCAACACAATCTAACTGGTGCATAACTGTTCAATCAAACCAACACAACACAATTGTTAATAAGGAAAGACAAACTCAAAATGACACACTGCCAGCATTTGCAATGCTTACTTGATGCACTCAGCTTGTAACATTATTTATTGCAATAATGGGGTGACTTTCGTAACATTCCAATATTTACACACACAAAACTGCTAATCAGCTGGTCGCTTTTCGCTGAACTTTTTTGTGTGTTCCTCTGCATTTTTCATGTACTTTTTTCTGTCTTTGGTATATTCTTCTGCCAGGTCAGCTCGCAGTGGGTGTTCTGGCTCTGGGTCATTGATAAGTGCAATCAAAGAACTCACCACTAAAGAAGACAACAAGAAAGAAAAATCATACTGACAATCGATGAAATCACATAGAAACTATCACATACCATTGTTCTGGCAGCTCTTATAAGACAAGAGCAATGAGGACCTCATGAAAGGCGGTGGCGTGGCCACTTTCATTTACCATCACAAATTGATTTGATTGGTGGGTTTGTTTTTTTGCCAAGACAGTGATTGTCTGTGGTTTTGTTGCCTGCAGGATTGTGGCTAATGCTACAGAGCTACTGCATTTGGCTGAGATCATCTTTGTAAACACCAAGTATCATGTGTTTAGTTTTGTTTGCTAACAGCAAATGACTCCACACAAAAGAAAGCAAGCTCCACTAAAGTGTGAAAGGATTGGGCTCAAATACATGAATCCTACACGGGAACTCTGCCAGTCTAAAAAAGCGATGACCCATTCTTAACCGTTTAATATTTGTAGCAGACATCATTACTCTACAAGAAACAAACTCAGTGATGAAGACATAAGGTTAATGGGCTTCAAAGCCATGGACAAGATATTCTCCTGCGGAACCACATTGTAGCAACTCTAACAAATATGTTTACATGGAGCAATAAAAAATGTTCAACTGCTTGTTGTCGGTGTAGAGGTAGTGCCACAACCATATACTCTAATTAACGTGTATGTCTGCAATCCAAGTATGATGGGTAAGTTGTCATGGATTTTCTTCAGTGAAATAATCCAACGCATAAGCCAGGTGATATTCCCTGGTGTGATTTTAATGCCAGAGGAAGACAGCGGGGAAAACATCCGCTCTAATCCACAAGGTAAGGACCTGGAGGAGGCACTAGTACATACAGATGTTGTATGTCTAAACGATGGAAGAACTACTCGACTAGTCCTACACCCTGGTGATACAGATGCTGTATGTCTAAACGATGGAAGAACTACTCGACTAGTCCTACACCCTGGTGATACAGATGTTGTATGTCTAAACGATGGAAGAACTACTCGACTAGTCCTACACCCTGGTGATACAGACTCTGTGTTATTGACTTGGCTCCTGTTACCTAAACTCTGGCCTCCACATGTCAATGGGACCATGTTGACTACAATGGCAGTGACTGCCGCCAATGTGTATGTCAATGGGACCACGTTGACTACAATGGCAGTGACTGCAGTCCATGTGTATGTCAATGGGACCACGTTGACTACAATGGCAGTGACTACAGTCCATGTGTATGTCAATGGGACCACGTTGACTACAATGGCAGTGACTACCGTCTATGTGTAGTGCTGCTAAAGACAAGCAAACTACTAACCCACTTTAAGGAAACATTTTATACGAAAATACCTGCAGTGACATCACTAGCAGAATTAAAAGATTCGGACATGACTGATAATCTACTAGTGTATAAAGTGTGTTCACCTGAGATCATCAGATTGCATACAACATATACATGTGTATTTTCACACACACACACATATATATCATACGCGATTTGATGTACTTAAGTGTCTGAGAAACAGGAGGAAACTATCAAAATGTTCAAAAAATTGAAAATGAGGGAAATGAATCTATGAATTAAATAATATATATTGGGGGCCAACAGAAGCTACAAGAATCAACAATATTTACAAACATTTCAGAGCATCAAGAAGGTTGTATGACAAGGACTCATGACTATGCTCAAGGAGCTGCTAAAATATTGTCTGAGATGTCAAATGTCTGGCATGATACTGACTGTATCTATATCTTAATCAACATACACAGACACAGAAGTCAAGTCCTGCCAGCTGTTTAATCAACATACATAGACACAGAAGTCAAGTCCTGCCAGCTGTTTAATCAACATACACAGACACAGAAGTCAAGTCCTGCCAGCTGTTTAATCAACATACATAGACATAGAAGTCAAGTCCTGCCAGCTGTTTAATCAACATACACAGACACAGAAGTCAAGTCCTGCCAGCTGTTTAATCAACATAAACAGACACAGAAGTCAAGTCCTGCCAGCTGTTTAATCAACATACACAGACACAGAAGTTAAGTCCTGCCAGCTGTTTAATCAACATACACAGACACAGAAGTTAAGTCCTGCCAGCTGTTTAATCAACATACACAGACACAGAAGTCAAGTCCTGCCAGCTGTTTAATCAACATACACAGACACAGAAGTCAAGTCCTGCCAGCTGTTTAATCAACATACACAGACACAGAAGTCAAGTCCTGCCAGCTGTTTAATCAACATACACAGACACAGAAGTCCTACCAGCTGTTTAATCAACATACACAGACACAGAAGTCCTACCAGCTGTTTAATCAACATACACAGACACAGAAGTCAAGTCCTGCCAGCTCTTTAATCAACATACACAGAAGTCAAGTCCTGCCAGCTGTTTAATCAACATACACAGAAGTCAAGTCCTGCCAGCTGTTCAATCAACATACACAGAAGTCAAGTCCTGCCAGCTGTTTAATCAACACAGACAGACACAGAAGTCAAGTCCTGCCAGCTGTTTAATCAACATACACAGACACAGAAGTCAAGTCCTGCCTTCTGTTGTAAACATCTTCTTCCTCACTTCCTCTTTTACTGCTGTCTGCGTCGAGGGAGATATAAGGTCCTGCTTATGCTCTTCTCGCCGTCTCGACCATAGACACATCCTGCTATTGAAGTTTCTCTGATGTTATCTTTCCATTTAGTTCTTGGTCTACCTCGTGATCTTTGTCCATCTCCTGTTTTGGTGTATGCCTCTATAGTATGGCATCACAATGCATTCTTTCAAAGTGGGCAAATAATTTCATTTGCTGTCTTTGTCATTTGGAATTAATTATGAGTTTTTTTTTTTTTATTCTCATTCCTGGTTTTATTTTATTTTTTTATTGGTCACTTCTGCAGCCCTGCTCATGCATCTCATTTCTAGGGTTACTAATTTTCTTGTTTGTTTTGTTGTCAGTGACCATGTCTGTCACTGGTAGCATAAGGCTGAAATGACTATGCTTTGTATGAGATGTGACTTTGTGCTGACGGAGATTTTCTCCTGTTTTGAAAGTGGGGCTAGCTGCCCCAATACCTGGTTTGCATCAGACGTTAATTTCTTCATCTAATTTACCATCTTTGTGAATGCTGTTTTCAGATGTTTAAACTCAGAGGCCAGTTAAATGCCTCTGCACTTTACTATCATATTTAGGTTCTGCTTCTTTTCTTGACATGTTCTTGTCTTTTCAGTTTTGATTCTCATATTTCCTTAATTTTTTGTTTTTGCATTCTTCATTCCTGGCTGTCATATGTTGCAGTTTCATGGCTGTATCTGCTATCAAAGCCTGGTCATCAGCACAGTCATTTGTTGATGTTACAACTAACATGTTTGTTCCCAGGCTTGGCATCCTTACTTATAGTGTTGACGTGCGTGATACACAGCAGTGTTGACGTGTGATACACAACAGTGTTGTCATGTGTGATACACAACAGTGTTGACGTGTGTGATACACAACAGTGTTGACTAGAAACATTCCTGTCTTACTCCAGATTCACGCTCAACGGTTGAGATGTTCTGGGATTTATTTTAACTACGCTTCTATAATCCCTATATAAACTTCTGTACACTCCGTGACATGTTCACTCACTCGAAAAGGAGCTATTATTTTCCATAATATTTTTCTATTAAGTCTGTCGAATGTCTTCTCCTGGTCTAGAATGCATCAAATAGCTTTGTATCTGATGTTCTTTTCTTTTAACTGTTTAAGTGTAAAGACTGCATTCGTGCAGCTTCTATTTCTTTTAAATTCCGTCTGTTCAGCCAACTAAGGTTCTATCACTAGTCTCTTATTCATTTTTATTATCTTGGCAAATATTTTTTCAGCATGACTCAAAAGAGAGATGCCTTGATACTGAGTGCATTCCCACATGCTTCTGTTGTTCTTCCACAATGGTACAACTATTACATGTTGCCAGTCAATAGGAGTATATTAATCAAGTAACAGAAAATGTATTGATCGGCGCTCATAGAAAGAAGTAGAAAAACACACAAGACAACTGGAAGCTATATAAAAAAGCTATAGTTACTGCACCGGGAAAAGAACCTTTCATGGAAACAAGTGCACTAAGAATATGGTCAAAGGCACTCCCAAAGAAAAACAGGTGTCTTAGTGGCTATGTCTATTGTACAACTTGAAATCTACAACTATGGAATACGGACAGAATTCATTTCAAACCATTGAAATGGCGCCATAGGTTACAGAAATTTCTATTAACGAAGCATATGTTGAATAACACCTCAATAATAGCAGCTTCTGGCATCCATGCTGAATTAAATATTCTGGGAAGCCAACTAATGTTGCTTTCTCCTGCTGCTTAGATTATTTCTGTAGGTAATCTATCAGCTCCTGGTGCTTAATACATACATCTAGAAAAATCTATATGTAGAAAGAAAACTTGCAACAGCCTCTTCAGACAGGCTGTTTGTTGCAAGTTTTCTTCCTACATATAGATTTGTCTAGATGTATGTATACATTAAGCACCAGGAGCTGATAGATTACCTACATAAATAATGATAAATATAAATGAACCACTTGGTGAAAAGCAGTAATATGGCAAAATAACTCTGGCAAGAGGGTGAGGCTAGGAAAAAAAGGGGAGGGGGAGAAATCATGAATATAAAAAATGATTATCAGATTCATAAAAGTCAAGTGACTACAAACCTTGATCTGTTTTAGTGGCAGGTTTCCAGTTTTCAGCATTGATGATAGGTAAGCACACCTGACCCTTCTCATCAACATTTGGGTGATAGATTTTGGTTTTGAAAACCACCTTTGGTGGCTTAAATGGGTATTCAGCTGGAAATGATATTTCTATTTTGAAAGCCCCTTTGTTGTATGGAGGATTTTCCTATAACAGAAAGAACACACAATCCATGTGAAATACATTTCATGACTGATGGAAACAAACAATATCACACAAGCTTGCATATGCAGGCAGTTGTGTGTGCACAAACACTTACAATATGCAGGCAGTTGTGTGTGCACAAACACTTACAATATGCAGGCAGTTGTGTGTGCACAAACACTTACAATATGCAGGCAGTTGTGTGTGCACAAACACTTACAATATGCAGGCAGTTGTGTGTGCACAAACACTTACAATATGCAGGCAGTTGTGTGTGCACAAACACTTACAATATGAAGGCAGTTGTGTGTGCACAAACACTTACAGTGAAGTGGCTGTTAAATGCTGTCTGCGGAGTGTGAGAGTTTTCAGATTTTGGGCAAGTAACTGTCTGCTTACCTCTTTCCCTTGTCAACTAACAAAGATACACTGGATACAGTTTTCTTCATCATGCAAACTTGTATTTTTGCATTGGCAATTCTTTCATTGACTTTCCATCGGATATCATAGACCTAAATACTTCAATACACTGGTCTGCTTCAGGTAGTCCCCATTAGGATGGCAACAAGAACAGCGCTATCTTATTTTAAGGGTTTGTTTCTGGTCGATTCATGCTTGTAATTTAGTGTTCCTTTAAGGATGAAGCTGCAGAAGGTCCAGCAAACCCACAGTGGATTTAAATATTCACAAAAATATGATCTAGAAACTGCAGAGGAAATTATGAAAACCTGCAGACAGAACAAACATCACACAGGGTAGGAGAACTAACCAGCCACCACACGCTTCTCAACAAGCTAGCCACACAGGGTAGGAGAATTAACCAGCCACCACACACTTCTGACAAAGCTAGCCACACAGGGTAGGAGAACTAACCAGCCACCACACGCTTCTCAACAAGCTAGCCACACAGGGTAGGAGAACTAACCAGCCATCACACACTTCTCAACAAGCTAGCCACACAGGGTAGGAGAATTAACCAGCCACCACACACTTCTGACAAAGCTAGCCACACAGGGTAGGAGAACTAACCAGCCACCACACGCTTCTCAACAAGCTAGCCACACAGGGTAGGAGAACTAACCAGCCATCACACACTTCTCAACAAGCTAGCCACACAGGGTAGGAGAACTAACCAGCCATCACACACTTCTCAACAAGCTAGCCACACAGGGTAGGAGAAGTAACTAGCCACCTCACACTTCTGACAAAGCTAGCCACACAGGGTAGGAGAAGTAACTAGCCACCTCACACTTCTCAACAAGCTAGCCACACAGGGTGGAAGAACTAACCAGCCACCTCACACTTCTCAACAAGCTAGCCACACAGGGTAGGAGAAGTGACCAGCCACCACACACTTCTCAACAAGCTAGCCACACAGGGTAGGAGAAGTGACCAGCCACCACACACTTCTCAACAAGCTAGCCACACAGGGTAGGAGAAGTAACTAGCCACCTCACACTTCTCAACAAGCTAGCCACACAGGGTAGGAGAAGTGACCAGCCACCACACACTTCTCAACAAGCTAGCCACACAGGGTAGGAGAAGTGACCAGCCACCTCACACTTCTCAACAAGCTAGCCACACAGGGTAGGAGAAGTGACTAGCCACCTCACACTTCTCAACAAGCTAGCCACACAGGGTAGGAGAAGTAACTAGCCACCTCACACTTCTCAACAAGCTAGCCACACATGGTAGGAGAAGTGACCAGCCACCACACACTTCTCAACAAGCTAGCCACTCAGGGTAGGAGAACTAACCAGCCACCACACACTTCTCAACAAGCTAGCCACACATGGTAGGAGAAGTGACCAGCCACCACACACTTCTCAACAAGCTAGCCACTCAGGGTAGGAGAAGTGACTCAAATCAGCAGCCCTTAAACTGCCCTGCCTAGTGGCACAAAGCAAATACTGACCCAAAACTGCTGTGTTGAATTCAATGCTGCATTCTGAAAGATTACTTGTTGATATAATTACCATCACATCTATTTATTTTTTGCTACTGTTTTCACTTTCTGTGGCAATTACAAGTTATCATTTCTAAGTCAATTCTGTGCTACCCGCACAATATACATTATTGTTCCAGCTACAATTCCTGGCATATCCCCTATGTGTCTATTTCAAACCACACTTGTTTCTTGACATCTTTAGATATCAAATATGAGTATTTTGAAGGCAAAGATCACCATCCAGTGCCAAATAGTCTATTAAATACAGGTCTAGCCACATATGCCTGAAAGCATGGGAAAGTTCCTTTACTCCCTCATCAGTCAACTAAAGGCTTGTCAACAACTCTTTACTCATCAGTCAAGTGAAGGCTTGTCAACAACTCTTTACTCATCAGTCAACTGAAGGCTTGTCAATAACTCTTTACTCATCAGTCAACTGAAGGCTTGTCAACAACTCTTTACTCATCAGTCAACTGAAGGCTTGTCAACAACTCTTTACTCATCAGTCAACTGAAGGCTTGTCAACAACTCTTTACTCATCAGTCAACTGAAGGCTTGTCAACAACTTTTTACTCATCAGTCAACTGAAGGCTTGTCAACAACTCTTTACTCATCAGTCAACTGAAGGCTTGTCAATAACTCTTTACTCATCGGTCAACTGAAGGCTTGTCAACAACTCTTTACACATCAGGCAACTGAAGGCTTGTCAACAACTCTTTACTCATCAGTCAACTGAAGGCTGAAGGCTAACAACTCAACAGAATTTCTCAAATGGAGCAGATGTAGGTCAAAACAGAACTCTGCTTTAAACTTGTTGAATACCTTTACTTGCATCAAATATTTAGCCATCCTTTTTACCCATTACTGAGTAACCGACAATCAACAATAGTTCCTATCATACACTTGCTGAATAAGCAGAATGTCAACTTCTTCTTCTATTGTGGTCTCACTGTTGCCAGGATGTCACTCAGTGTCATGGCTAGGTCAACAATACCATAAACGTCCAGAAAGTCAACTCAGATGTATTCTGTTTTATGCAAACACAAGATGTCTGTCAAATGTCAATAACATTCCAGTCAGATAATCAGATTAAGTTACCAACCGGAACTATTAAGCCATGCCACAAAAGTATATTGGACTCATCAACAGTTATGTCCCTGAATAATTTCCTCAAAGCACAGTTTGGAGATTTCAGGTCACTCAGCTCCTGAGATAAAAATAAATAATTATTAAATATTTGTATTTTTAAAAAAATGAATGGAATAAACATGAGTAGAATTCCTTGTCTGCTCTATATATAGGGTTTGTTTGTTGTTGTTTGCGTTCACCAGCTATAAACTCCAGTGGAAAGACCTGGTTGTTCATCCATTTCTGGACTTTGGCTTTGTTCCAGGACCTGAGTTTTGCTTGTGCATCTGTTTTACAGATCTGACTTATTTGTATGCAGATTGCTGGTTCCTTGCCTCTCAGGCAGATGCACTCCGGCTTCAAAGGAAGCCCCCAGTTAATCGACTCTTACAACATGCTTTTTGGGGAGGCAGTGGGTCTATTCTTGTTTTCCTTACAATGGGGCGCCGGAACCCACACAGGGGTATACAGGGTTGAATGGTACATGTCTGTATAACAGTAGCCGGTACCACCTGTCTTCTGTTATGCTGAATGTTGGGCGGTGAATACTAACCCAACATCCCATATTGTGCCAATGGCTTCGGGCGAAGAAGCACAGTGGGGAGGATACTAGCCTTATCCTGGGAAGAGGAAATACAACCTGAAAACTTTATGAAAAAATATGGTCCTGAAAGAGGTAATAATCATCTTTTGTTGTTGTATTTTAACTCTACAATTTTCATCAAATTCTTTGAATAAATTAACAAAAACCAATTTCAGGTCTTTATATTATTTCTACTAAAATTAACTTGGTACCCCTTAAAATGTTTGGTTTAAACTGACTCATTAACAAAGTAGGGTACTTTTCAGTTTTTTTCCCCCATCTGTTGGCTGAGAGATTTGGTAGGGAATTTCAACAGAATTTCCTGGAAGGTCCCATAGGGTGGGTGCACGTGCGTGTGTCAGGGTTAGTTTCCTCTACTCTTTGTTTCAGTTACCCGGAATAGATTATCTATATCTGCAATATCGTCTCTAGTATGAACTTCATTGTATTCCATATTTCACTGAAACAACAGTAAAGTTCGACTTGAATTAGTGGTTTCTCTTAGGCAGACCTTGGGCAGTATTCTGGGGCGGGCAACGGAAAGGGCCATCTTGGGATTGTTGACAGGGGAGGGTTCCAAACAGGAGCGACAGTCTCCACACATGCCTACTCGTCGGTTAGGGTTAGCATTAGGGTTAGGGTTAGCATTAGGGTTAGGGTTAGCATTAGGGTTAGGGTTAGCATTAGCATTAGGGTTAGCATTAGGGTTAGGGTTAGCATTAGGGTTAGGGTTAGCATTAGGGTTAGGGTTAGGGTTAGCATTAGGGTTAGCATTAGAGTTAGGAACAGAAATGCTGACAGGTCAGGGAAATTCACAGTGAAGGCAAAGTCACAAAGTAAGAACACTGCTTGCAGACAGGGCAAAGTGATAGCGACGAACAAATGAAAGTAGCACACACAGTGGAAAAGATGATGCAATAAACAAAGAACACACTGAAAACAACTAACACATGACACACCTAGAACATAGCAGTTTGACTTTTGTAGGGTTACTCTTAAATGAACATCGTCTAACTCTGACCCTAAATCTAACTCCCCTATAACTACTGGACGAAAACTTGCCTAGAAAAACCACAAAAACCAGAAAAAAAAAATGCTGGGGTTGGTTCTGCAACTACACTAAAGGACCTTCCTAGTTACTCCCAAGGACTTCCCAAACAAAACAAATTTAGCAGCCAACGAGATGGGTGAAAAGCTGAAAAGAACCCAAAGTAGCGCCACTGTTGTCCTATGCAGAGTTAAACTGTGACTTGTGCCATAAATGTGGCTGATGCTGGTAGTCCATTGATGTCTCTAATTTTCTTGAAGGGAAACAACTCTGTAGTGCACACAGTACATTTGTCCTAAAACTGTTTGACAAGCTCTCATGGAGATGGATATTTTATCATGGCCTTGAACTCTGGGAACCATCGTGGTTGTACATTTTTTAGAATATTTCTGGTGCTACAGGTAATTTTCTTTGAAAAGTGAAGGTGAAGATATTACTGAACAGTTTGATAACTCTGACTTTGATAGATATTACAAAGTGACATCAAAAACATTGCTGAAACTGAAACGGGGGGGGGGGGGGGGTCAGTTCAAGGTCAAGTCTAATGTATGTGCTGCCTCTGACATGTATGTGCTGCCTCTGACATGTATGTGCTGCCTCTGACATGTATGTGCTGCCTCTGACATGTATGTGCTGCCTCTGACATGTATGTGCTGCCTCTGACATGTATGTGCTGCCTCTGACATGTATGTGCTGCCTCTGACATGTATGTGCTGCCTCTGACATGTATGTGCTGCCTCTGACATGTATGTGCTGCCTCTGACATGTATGTGCTGCCTCTGACATGTATGTGCTGCCTCTGACATGTATGTGCTGCCTCTGACATGTATGTGCTGCCTCTGACATGTATGTGCTGCCTCTGACATGTATGTGCTGCCTCTGACATGTATGTGCTGCCTCTGACATGTATGTGCTGCCTCTGACATGTATGTGCTGCCTCTGACATGTATGTGCTGCCTCTGACATGTATGTGCTGCCTCTGACATGTATGTGCTGCCTCTGACATGTATGTGCTGCCTCTGACATGTATGTGCTGCCTCTGACATGTATGTGCTGCCTCTGACATGTATGTGCTGCCTCTGACATGTATGTGCTGCCTCTGACATGTATGTGCTGCCTCTGACATGTATGTGCTGCCTCTGACATGTATGTGCTGCCTCTGACATGTATGTGCTGCCTCTGACATGTATGTGCTGCCTCTGACATGTATGTGCTGCCTCTGACATGTATGTGCTGCCTCTGACATGTATGTGCTGCCTCTGACATGTATGTGCTGCCTCTGACATGTATGTGCTGCCTCTGACATGTATGTGCTGCCTCTGACATGTATGTGCTGCCTCTGACATGTATGTGCTGCCTCTGACATGTATGTGCTGCCTCTGACATGTATGTGCTGCCTCTGACATGTATGTGCTGCCTCTGACATGTATGTGCTGCCTCTGACATGTATGTGCTGCCTCTGACATGTATGTGCTGCCTCTGACATGTATGTGCTGCCTCTGACATGTATGTGCTGCCTCTGACATGTTTGTGCTGCCTCTGACATGTTTGTGTTGCCTCTGACATGTTTGTGCTGCCTCTGACATGTATGTGCTGCCTCTGACATGTATGTGCTGCCTCTGACATGTATGTGCTGCCTCTGACATGTATGTGCTGCCTCTGACATGTATGTGCTGCCTCTGACATGTATGTGCTGCCTCTGACATGTATGTGCTGCCTCTGACATGTATGTGCTGCCTCTGACATGTATGTGCTGCCTCTGACATGTATGTGCTGCCTCTGACATGTATGTGCTGCCTCTGACATGTATGTGCTGCCTCTGACATGTATGTGCTGCCTCTGACATGTATGTGCTGCCTCTGACATGTATGTGCTGCCTCTGACATGTATGTGCTGCCTCTGACATGTATGTGCTGCCTCTGACATGTATGTGCTGCCTCTGACATGTATGTGCTGCCTCTGACATGTATGTGCTGCCTCTGACATGTATGTGCTGCCTCTGACATGTATGTGCTGCCTCTGACATGTATGTGCTGCCTCTGACATGTATGTGCTGCCTCTGACATGTATGTGCTGCCTCTTACATGTATGTGCTGCCTCTTACATGTATGTGCTGCCTCTTACATGTATGTGCTGCCTCTTACATGTATGTGCTGCCTCTCACATGTATGTGCTGCCTCTTACATGTATGTGCTGCCTCTTACATGTATGTGCTGCATCTTACATGTATGTGCTGCCTCTGACATGTATGTGCTGCCTCTTACATGTATGTGCTGCCTCTTACATGTATGTGCTGCCTCTGACATGTATGTGCTTCAGGTGTGTATTGTTAGATGCATCTGTTTGTGTAGATTACAGCTCTGTGGCTTACAGCTTAGTGAGAATCATTCCCCAATGCAGTCCTCGGCATTGACCAGCCTGTGATTCCTGTGATAGGAAGTTCAGAAAAAGACTGTTCTTCCACAATTCAGTCCTACTGCATCAGACATTATTGGTACAAAGTGACAAACAGCCATTGAAAATGAAGAATTTACTTTCATTGTTAGGCAGAGCTCTCACCCATGATTATTTCAGCAAAAACGAAACAACAATGATACTGGTGTCAGAGAGATGATTTCTCAGTTGCCTTTGTTTGTTTGTTTGCACCTGGCTGCATCCATGTGATGATGAAGTCAAACCAAATAAACTAAATACTTGTTGACAATTTCTTCTCCATTCAATATAGTGCACAAATATGATAAGTGTATGTTAAATAAACAGTTGTAAGGCTGTGGCATTTATTTTTGTTAGTCTAACTTGGCTTCTGAGAAAAGATGTTTGGTTTTCATTTACCTTTTTTGCACCAATACAAAATCTGATTATAATGTGGAGTGATTCTGAAAATCTGTTCTTCATTACAATGGGTGCACACACAAAAAAAATTCAGAATATGATAATTGTATGTTAAATAGTTTTGAAGCTATGATGGCATTTTTAATAATCACTGACTGGCAGGCACTGTGGTGACTCAACTGTGACAGTGCAAGCATAAATCCAAATGTGTTTCCTAGTCAGCGGCTTGAGTTAAAAAAAAAAAAAATGCTAATCTGGATGCAATTTACAACAAATACAATAACAATAACGAAATACACAAGTCAGTCACTCTTCCTCGTTTAGTTTGGTCAGTTTCCGTTATTATTTGGTTAGTCAAGTTTATCAAGTTGTTTCATTCATTTTTTGTACTAACTTTAACTATGACTAAGCACCGCTTTTAGTACTTTTACAATTACATCTCCTGATAGAACGTCACCACAAGTCAAATTGGGCGCATTAAACTCTTCTTGTTCAACAACGCTTTTATAGCTCTAAACAATAATGTATGTCTCCTAGTGTAAACAAGAAAAGAAAATATTATAGTGCCGAACATTAGAATATTGGCTAGCAGTGAGATCTATCTCATCATGGTGCAACTCGTCAAGCAAGATTGAAGACTCAATGAAGAATCCGACTGATGAACCGCCGCCTTATAGGAAATTACTAACTAAAGCAAATTTGGCTCCATTTAAATATAATATTTTATACTCCTCATGTTAATAAAGCCGGACGTTTTCGAGTACTCTTCTCGTTGTTAAAACTAGAACATTAAACAATAATAAAAGAAGAAGCACATCGTACTTTCTGTAGCCGTCTGGTTGCTGCCATTTTCCTCCCTTCTTTCGCAGCTTCTGGCGCCCCCTGTTGGCGACCAAGGGAAGACACTTGCTAATCGCGTCCTTGGAAACGTATGTAACTGTTAATTGATGAATTCAAATTAGTAACTATTTAAAAAAAAAAAACATGTAAAGAATATATGACAGCAACCTTATATGGGATTATTTTTTTATATAATATTTATGTTGTTAAAGCTAGATCATTTCTAAGAAACTTACTTTAATTGCTTGTTTCGGTTTCATTTGTACAAGTCCCGGAAACAACACAGCCTCATACTCACTTAATTTGGAGTAATACACAATGGCCACTGTATTACTTTCACTCTTGTGTGGGTGTGCCTGACGAATATTGTCAGTGCGTTTGCTTAGTCTGGAGTAAACATTGGCGATCTTAATGGTCCTGCACTCAGGTGACTGTGTAAAAATTTGGGGAACCAGATATAAGTTATAACTGGTATGCTGGGATTTCGAGATTTATATCTGTGTGAACTTTACCCTTAAGGTGTTTATCCTGTCGACTACAATCCTGGAGGCGACTAACTACGGCCACCGCCACACGTCCGGGGATCATGCAACCTCACCCACATCAGACAGCGGGTTACTTCAGGTTTCAGAAGGAAAGGAAAAACTAGGCTTTTATAAACAGTTTTTTTTTTCTAAAACAAAAAATGCCGATACTGACCACAAAGTATCTAATACGCTGGACAAAATGATGCCTAAATAGTGCCGGTACTGTATACCGTTGTATCATCATTATCATCATGTAGCACGACGTTGCTCTCATCACGGTCTGCCTAAAAGAAACTTGGTCACTAGTCAGCTCTCCCGCCTCATGCACTCTCATACTCGAAGAGTCACTTATATACTGTGCTCATCTTCGTGTTGGTCGACCCCTGCTCCTCCTTCCTAGTGCTTTACCATAGACGTTTAAGGCTGTTTAATCTTTGCATTGCTATGGCCATCCTCCTTTTAATTTCTGTCAAACAGTCTCCATCGCTATTTATTACAGGGCCTAGATATTCAAAGTTTGTGTCAGTTTCAATTTTTTCACCATTTATTACCGTTGCATACCACCGGGAGAGGGGGGGGGGCATGAAAGTTTAACTGAGTTGAGTTAAGATGATTCAAGAACCGGCATCACAGAACTCGGGGCTTTCAGAGTTACAATGCCAGTTGCAGTCTGATTTTATGTCCTTCCTGCCTTTCATCTGGGCGTCGAGGATCGGTCAGATCCCCTTGTCCCTCCTTACTAGGCTGTGATGATCGGTTGGCTGTTCCCAATTCTATATGTGCTCACATAAAACCTTAACCACTTCTGCCTTACCATGCATCAATTTTTCACCAAGTTGCTCAGAGACAGCCAGTCTGTCGGCCGGTTTATTTCCCAGCACACCGGTATGCACCATAGAAAAGATGCACACAGTGTCCCTTGCCATGCCACTCTGCACGAAGCATGCCACTCTGCACGAAGCATGCCTTTCCTCACCTTACTCGGTATGCGTTTAGAGTCTGTTACAGTCACAATGTGTGTGTGTGTGTGTGTGTGCCTGTCCGGTTCGTGTTCTCTAGCCAGCGAAAAGCTGTAGTGACCGCCTCCATCTCCATTCCTAAGCTGGATGTTGTGGCATCAAGGCCATGAAAGTCCAGCGTTGAGCCGGATTGATAGGATTTGCTTTTGTTCCATGACCTCCAAATAGCAAGTGATTGCGATCCCAAAAAGGATGCGGGCAGGCGTGGCGAATATGACTCAGTCCAGACCTCTGTTTTTTTTTTTTCAAATACTTTGGTAAAGCTGCTATCTATACTAGTTGTTAGTACGTGAGACAGAAGATCGCGCGTGTACGTGTTGACCAAAGCCACATGCTATGGATTTTAGGATGCTCGTTGCTTTAGCTGCCCAGCTGTTTATCCATGCAAGTGTGTCAAAAGTTAAACCTATTATTATTATTATTGCGCTGAATAGAAAAAAATAATAATGTACTTGAAATAATATAAAATAATAAACAAATACTTTGAAAGAGACTATCTGAACGCGATTAAAGATGGCTTCTTATTCCGCTTATAAAATTACCGTGGGAGAAGGAAGGAGGGGCCAGTAAGAGCCTCGTGTCTTGGGGCCTACGAGGGACACTATATATCCCACTTCAAGCCTTAAAACAATCAGCTGTTTTCGTAAAAACAAGTTTTACTTTCCACTTGTTATTAAAAACATCGCAGTTTAACAAAAAATCGGATCTCAGGCCTGCGGATTTGTGTTAAGTTCCACATTGGCCTCATCTGGATGCCGAAGCGGCCAGTCTACCGGACGTGTGTGAAAGCTGCCATTAGATAACATTGCAGTCTCCGATACAGGCACCGGTTTTGCCGGCGGGCGTGAAAACGGCCTAAGGAGTGTAATAAATCTCTATGCCAACAAGGCTCACCAAGTTAGCGCCCTAACATAAACTAGAAAAATCGAAAGTAGATAATATGATGTGTCCGCCGGTAGAGGGCGCTGGGCTAATGTATGTAGCTGCCGGAAGTCAGAGAGCCGAGCCAGTCATGCGCAGAGCTGTAGAAGAGCTGCTCTCTCCTCCAATATTACAATTGCATCGATCCATCAGTCGTCGTACAGAAACAGTAATGTGAAATCAGCAAAAGCAGAATGAATGGAGATCACAGTTTGATGTGGATACACAATTTACGGAGCAAATCCTTAGATTAACGGTTGCTCTCCATCATGACGAAAGATCGGTTAGCGGCCCTGAAGGCGGTAGGTCTTGTTGTTTCGACTGCTAGACATGTAGACAGACGACTCAATGATGAGGGACCAGCCCACTTTTGACTCACAGCAATATTTCAATACTTATTTGGCCCTAGCGCTAGCCAATATGGCTCCGTGTTTAGGGAGACACTATCAACAGTAGATGTGTGCGATAGCAGAGGAATATGATGTTGTCACAATATATGGATAGAAGACCACGTTAAACTGTGTTAGTCAATAAAGTACTGCCACCCAAGTTGAGTCAGTTGATCATTATTTGGTATTATTTAACAATATTACACATCAGATGACAGTTGGAGAGACTGGGGTAGTCACGGATCACAGCACGTCGACTGTATTGTTGTTGATTGTGTACCCTAATATTGTTTCACATAAACATGTCCATATTTCCGTCCAACATATTTAATATTGATTAACTTCACTATTACCCTGTGTAATTACACACCAACTCCGGACTTGAGCACATATTTAAGAAACATTAACAGTCGGCAAATAATATAATTTTGTTGAAGTTATCTTTATAGATGGTGATCATTAAATTACAGCCTATTACAAGCCACCTTAAAAGGAAATGCATCTCATTGCAAAATTTCAGCTCTTATGAAATTTAGGTTTGCTTGGTGTTTAAAAAAATATATCAAACTAAAATAAATGTTAAAATAAGGATACCTATTGCCCACTTACCTAAGGCCTTTGACAATGTACTGTTAATGGAGGTGCGTCTATGGCTGATGTTTCTATGTAGCTAATCTAGTCATCATTTATTGCTCACTTCTCTGTCTCCACTCTGAAGGTTTGCTGCAAAATCAGAACCATGGGTCCCTGCTCTGAGGTTTGCTGCACAATCAGAACCATGGGTCCCTGCTCTGAAGGTTTGCTACAAAATTAGAACCATGGGTCCCTGCTCTGAAGGTTTGCTACAAAATCAGAACCATGGGTCCCTGCTCTGACAGGCTTTTTTCCAGTCATTTAGTGATGTCATTTCCAGTATTATTTTTTATAAAATAAACATTTTCTCTTAAGTATAAATTAGAGAATGAGAGTTGCCATGGCGACTAGACGCACCCCTGTGGACTGGAAGATCATAGGTTTGCTCCCTGGTGGAGCCAAACTTTTTTCAAATAATGACCTTGGCTTTCAGGTCGACCCAGCCTTGAGTGGGTACCAGGGGCAGTCCTTGGAAGTAAATATGGCCAGCCTGATGCTGACCATATCACCCATCTTGTGTGGTTGGTCTATAAAATAAAGGTTGTGCCCTATATACCCAATACGCCTGAAAGGCGGGAAAAAGGGTCCTTTACTTTACTTTATAAATGAGAAAATGCTGGGAAGTTAACCAGGTCAGCAAATGCTCGATGAAGTGGGATGTGTCGGCCTAGTGGTCAGAGGTCACACCTATACTGTGTAAACAGCACAACACAATTACATTACTTAGATCAATAAACAGAAAACAGAATTAGTGAGCGAAGTCACTTATCTTTGAAAAGAATCAATTACTTGTAAATTGTACTGTCATTCAAAATCTATAGCTAGTTTTCTTTGGTTTACTGTTACTAATATATAGCATAAGACTTCTTTATATTATTGCAAGTTGATGTGGTTTACTTAGGTAAACATGATGAGAATCTCCTCAAACAGAGTTAGCCCTGCCTCTTTATACACTGGGTGACTTTTAAATAAGTTGTTGCTGAGCCTCGTCAACTTTGCTTTGAAGAGAGGCAGAGGAAGACAGAGAGAACATATGCTGGACAGTGTGACATCATGGCATGGAAGATCATATGATTAAAAGTACATGAGACAGAAGGTTGTGGATAGACATGACTACCAATGCCACACGGCACAGACTCTAAGGAGAAGTTATAAACAAAATATAAATAAAAACAGTGTAGGCCTGTCCGTAATGAATAATATTTCTGCACCACTTAATTTCCCCCGGCTGGAAATTTACTGTTGGAGGTTGAGAATGAAAATACAAATAACTTGCAGTTGTCTCAGATGTAAGAGCTCACATTGTTTATTGTCATGGTTTTTCCTACAGAATATGGCAGACAATTCTAGATCAGTATTTGGTTATGATATACATTGAGAATCATGAAGACATTGAAAAGACGGGGAAAGTTGGGGGGGGGGGGGGGGGGGGAAGCCAGCTTGAGTGGTTAAGCCACAACTTGTGCAACAAACTGGCTAATAGTAGACATTTCTAATACTAGAAAGCAATAATGGAAATATATCATGTCAACAGGACATCTAATGGGGTAGGGGGGAGGTGGGGGGGGGGGGGAGGGGGGAATGAGCTCATGGGACAGAATGTTGGACATCATGGCATGGAAAATCTGTATACAAAATGATGGGCACTGCATGAGACAGAATGTTGGACATCATGGCATGGAAGATCTGTATACAAAATGATGGGCACTGCATGAGACAGAATGTTGGACATCAAGGCATGGAAGATCTGTATACAAAATGATGGGCACTGCATGAGACAGAATGTTGGACATCATGGCATGGAAGATCTGTATACAAAAGGATGGGCACTGCATGAGACAGAATGTTGGACATCATGGCATGGAAGATCTGTATACAAAATGATGGGCACTGCATGAGACAGAATGTTGGACATCATGGCATGGAAGATCTGTATACAAAATGATGGGCACTGCATGAGACAGAATGTTGGACATCATGGCATGGAAGATCTGTATACAAAATGATGGGCACTGCATAAGACAGAATGTTGGACATCATGGCATGGAAGATCTGTATACAAAATGATGGGCACTGCTTGAGACAGAATGTTGGACATCATGGCATGGAAGATCTGTATACAAAATGATGGGCACTGCATGAGACAGAATGTTGGACATCATGGCATGGAAGATCTGTATACAAAATGATGGGCACTACATAAGGCTGCAGACAGACAGTATGACCAAATTGCATTAAGGAAGAACATTTGATAAGACATCACATCATACACAGGTCTTAATTTGCCCCATAACACATTGAATATCTAATAGAGAAGACAGGTCTTGACTGTACTAGAAACCAATCATAGAAGGGATCTTTATGCTCTGTTTGCATCACACTCTGAAGGTTATGTTGGTGGCTTTGGGCTCTATGCTTCAGTTGACATGTGCAGCTGTTTGTGATAGTTCTTATTGTTGGAGCTGCAAAGCTTTGTGTAATGCTCTCCAGGGTTCGCTGCGGCTCTGCATGATGTCTCTCTATATCTGTTATATGCATCTAATAAGATGCAGTGAAATATGTCAGGCAATATAATTGTGCAGTCTGTTTGCACCTTCTTTGTTCAAAATTACAATGGGAAAAACATATTTTTTGATTTGTATAATCTATTTACTGTCATTAAAATTCACAGTAGGCATTATTTTAGTTTATAAAACTCTATCTGTAGGTAGATTGTCCTTTTAAAGTTTACTCAGAATCCAGGAGAAACCTTTTTTGTTTGTGTGGTAGAACATTTATCATCTTCTTCATCTTCAGCATTCCGAGCCCTTGAGGTTCATAGCTGCAGATATCACCCGCCTCCACTAATCTCTCTGGTTGGCCTTCTCTTTCCAATTGGTAACACCAAGTGTTTGCAGGTCTGTCTGGACTTTATCTCTTTATCATCTTCTTGGTCTTGTTGGCAGAACATTTATAGGGTGCATAATTTATATTACAAAGTAGGTAACTTGTTAAATCAAAGTATACATTTGTTCTAACAATTAATGCTTGGGCAGTCAAACAATGTTGGATAGAGTGACATGTTTAGATATTCCATGTCAGCCTTTGCTGTCAGTGACAGACAGCAGAAAGCCATCTGATGGACATTAATATCATGGCCAAGTGATTCAACCATTTTACTTCTGCTCTGATGGGTGTGAGTGGGATGTTTCAGCCACCAGCATTTGGCTGATAACTTGAGGAGTTGCTGAGATCCGTAGGGTTGTCATTGGAGCTAATCATGCTTTGTATGGAACTCTTAGTGAACAACCATCTGCTTTGTAGAGAGTGGCAGAGAGGGGGGGGGGGGGGGGGTGGAGACTGTGCCTTATGGGATGAAAGCTAGTGCTATGATGTTAATCCCCTCACATTCAGATGCCTTTTTAATCCATTGATTAAAGACCCTACCCACTTGAAGATTATTTTCAATACAGCACAATCTATCTGTAGATTGGATCTATACTCTTATGTATATCTTTATTTACTGGCAATAGTCCTAAGCTTCTTAAGCAATTGTCCTAATGAATACTGATATATAAATGAGGGATTGTAATACTTTGCTACTAAATATTTGTTCACAGGCTCAGAGTGATGATGATGACAATGATGATGTGGCTGTCACCGTTGACAGCAGTGGATTTATGGAGGAGTTTTTTGAACAGGTTGTTATCTCATTTCATGTCAGGCAGGGAAGAAAGGGAGTATTTGCAACTTTGTTCAGGTTGTTATCTCATTTCATTTCAGGGAGGGAAGAAAGGGAGTATTTGCAACTTTTTTCAGGTTGTTATCTCATTTCATTTCAGGGAGGAAAGAAAGGGAGTATTTGCAACTTTGTTCAGGTTGTTATCTCATTTCATGTCAGGCAGGGAAAAAAGGGAGTATTTGCAACTTTGTTCAGGTTGTTATCTCATTTCATGTCAGGCAGGGAAAAAAGGGAGTATTTGCAACTTTGTTCAGGTTGTTATCTCATTTCATTTCAGGCAGGGAAGAAAGGGAGTATTTGCAACTTTGTTCAGGTTGTTATCTCATTTCATTTCAGGCAGGGAAGAAAGGGAGTATTTGCAACTTAGTTGTTCTACATCCAAGTGCTTGATACCTCGCAACAACTGTCTACTATTATCTATGCATGTTAATGGTTGAACAAGAGAGTCATCCTGGACAGCTACAATGAATATTTGAAAAGACACTTAAGACAACTTATCACAAACACCAAAAGGAGTCAGTTTTTTTGCTCTGGTCATATAGTGAGAAAAACTAGAGCATGTTGTGACAACTAGAAAGATTTATCTAAAGGAATAAGACAATACACACAGATTATTGGTGACTTTATGGCACAAACTGGTTTAATATAAGGACTCTCTCAGATGGAAAGAATTAACAACAACAACAACAACAAAGTACTTTACATATGTATTAACTAGTAACACCTGTATATTTTACTGGAATATGGGAGCAAAGGTAACTGAACATGCAGTTTGTGAGATGCAGCAAAAAGGCTTGGTTGGCCTCCCTCATTATTCCATAGAAAACTAACAGCAAAATCCAATTAGGGATTGCTCATTTCCTTCCTTTGTTAAAAGGTAGCTGAATAAAGCAGGGGCAGACAATCTTTTTTTTTTTTGTACAGTAATAACAGTGATTATAAATCCATAAATCCCAATTATAGATGTTAAACCAAAGACTACCTGTGTTAACTTAGAAAAACAAACACCTTCTGCAGAGTTGCCTTTGAAGTAAATACCACAGAGTTGCCTTTGAAGTAAATACCACAGAGTTGCCTTTGAAGTAAATACTACAGAGTTGCCTTTGAAGTAAATACTACAGAGTTGCCTTTGAAGTAAATACCACAGAGTTGCCTTTGAAGTAAATACCACAGAGTTGCCTTTGAAGTAAATACTACAGAGTTGCCTTTGAAGTAAATACTACAAAAGTAAATGAAAATCAGGAAGATCATATGATGATCAGAAGTGAAGATTAAGTAGAAAAGCTTGAAACTAGGTTGATGTTTATCATTGAAAAAGCAGTGTTAGCGCAGGAACATCAAAGCCTGTAGTGTGTGTATGTGTGTGTGTTTGTTTTTTCTTTTTTTTTTCAAGTTTGAAACAGTGTTTAATGTACACCTTATTCATAAAGGTTGATGAAATTCGGGAGATGATTGACAAAATAGCCTTGAATGTAGATGAAGTCAAAAAGAAGCACAGTGCAATATTGTCAGCACCCCAGACTGATGACAGTAAGTGAACTTGTTTCCTATCAAGAATATATAAACTCTCTGCTATCTGTCAGGGATATTAAGTAGCTCATTCATTTTGATCATTTCTGCACATGGTTTGAAAGATTATGTGAAGAAAAGGAAGAAGCATATATGCATACTTAGTTCTTCCTACCATAAACACACATGCACATATGAGTGCAAATTATTGTGCATGTTTTATAAATACATATTAAATGCCTCAGTGGTTTAGAAATGAAGTATTGGAAGACATGGTTCATTGAGGAAGTAGCAGAAGTCAGCTAGCCTAGAAGTGGACATGGTTCATTGAGGAAGCAACAGAAGTCAGCTAGCCTAGAAGTGGTCATGGTTCATTGAGGAAGTAGCAGAAGTCAGCTAGCCTAGAAGTGGACATGGTTCATTGAGGAAGGAGCAGAAGTCAGCTAGCCTAGAAGTGGACATGGTTCATTGAGGAAGTAGCAGAAGTCAGCTAGCCTAGAAGTGGACATGGTTCATTGAGGAAGCAGCAGAAGTCAGCTAGCCTAGAAGTGGACATGGTTCATTGAGGAAGTAGCAGAAGTCAGCTAGCCTAGAAGTGGACATGGTTCATTGAGGAAGTAGCAGAAGTCAGCTAGCCTAGAAGTGGACATGGTTCATTGAGGAAGGAGCAGAAGTCAGCTAGCCTAGAAGTGGTCATGGTTCATTGAGGAAGAAACAGAAGTCAGCTAGCCTAGAAGTGGACATGGTTCATTGAGGAAGAAACAGAAGTCAGCTAGCCTAGAAGTGGACATGGTTCATTGAGGAAGAAACAGAAGTCAGCTAGCCTAGAAGTGGACATGAACTATTGAAGAGCATGAAACCACTGTCATGACACTGTGTGAGTGCTGTGGTCACTGTCATGACACTGTGTGAGTGCTGTGATCACTGTCATGACACTGTGTGAGTGCTGTGATCACTGCCATGACACTGTGTGAGTGCTGTGACCTCTGTCGTGACACTGTGTGAGTGCTGTGGTCACTGTCATGACACTGTGTGAGTGCTGTGACCTCTGTCGTGACACTGTGTGAGTGCTGTGACCTCTGTCATGACACTGTGTGAGTGCTGGGACCTCTGTCCTGACACTGTGTGAGTGCTGTGACCACTGTCATGACACTGTGTGAGTGCCGTAACCTCTGTCATGACACTGTGTGAGTGCTGTGACCACTGTCATGACACTGTGTGAGTGCCGTGACCTCAGTCATGACACTGTGAATGCTGAGGTCTGCCTTATGACACTGTCATTTTTTCACCTCTTTTACTGTGTTAAATTTGTTTACTTGTAGTTTAGTTAAAAATAGTAAGCTTTGTCAGTGAAAACACATTGTCACAGTAACTGTTCATTACTGCAGTTACGGTGGCTTGTTCTGTTGCATGCTGATATTGTCTTATTTCATGTATATTAATCAACACTTTTTGTCTCTTTTAGAGATGAAAGAAGACTTGGAGGAGTTGATGTCAGAGATTAAGAAGAATGCCAATAAAGTTAGAGCTAAGTTGAAGGGTAAGCAATGTTTTTAAAGTCTACAGTTCTGTGATAAAAATAATTGTGACTGAAACAACCAATGCACATACTTATTTGCAATATATTTAAATGTGAAATGTATATGTTCTACAAAGAAGTTAAAAAAAAAACAAACTAAGTGAATGTAAAAGAAAAATTCCCATTTAATTTACAGTTTAGTGAATAGTTTCATCGGATAATTTATACTTTCTATTTAATTAGAATGAACATGAGAAAAAATTTACTGATAACTAAAATATATCACCAGCAAATGTACTTATGGATTTTTGTTCTTTGTAACAATGCCTCCAATATAGTCATGTCAACCAGGTCTGTCAAATTTGACAAGAAGCAAGCTAAAATATCTTAAACAAATACCTGAAAATCTAGCTATTTTAAAATAATTTAGCCAGTAATTTGTCAGTTCATGTGTACATAATTTCAGTTTGTAACTTCACTTGTAATTTAAAGGTCACATTGCTCAGAGAAAGTGTTGGTTTTTGTGAATTTTTTAGCAGTAACTAAGATAATTGTGGAGAATAAGTAAGTGGCCATGCCAACAGACAGTTTGTTTTGATTCATCTGGTTCCTGGAGACATCCTCCTGGTTCCTGTAGACATCCTCCTGGTTCCTGTGGACATCCTCCTAGTTCCTGTAGACATCCTCCCGGTTCCTGTAGACATCCTCCCGGTTCCTGTGGACATACTCCCGGTTCCTGTGGACACCCTCCTGGTTCCTGTGGACATCCTCCTGGTTCCTGTGGACATCCTCCCAGTTCCTGTAGACACCCTCCCAGTTCCTGTAGACATTCTCCCGGTTCCTGTGGACACCCTCCTGGTTCCTTTGGACATCCTCCTGGTTTCTGTAGACATCCTCCTGGTTCCTTTGGACATCCTCCTGGTTCCTTTGGACATCCTCCTGGTTTCTGTAGACATCCTCCCAGTTTCTGTAGACATCCTCCCAGTTCCTGTAGACATCCTCCCAGTTCCTGTAGACATCCTCTTTTTGGAACAGATTTGTGTTACTTGTCAAATCAGTTTCATTCACAATGTTAGCTTCAAATCAGGGACCGATTATATATTCTGTGTTTTATGGTGATTTCACTGCTAATTTTCTATATGTCATAGATTTCACTGCTGACAGTTATAGCCACTGCTAATTTTCTACATCTGTCATATCTTTAGAAATTATGTCAACACTGACTTCATAGAACTGAGGACATGTTCATAAATGCTCTTTTTGAACATCTTATTTTAGTTCCATAAGTTTTTTAATCAATAAGCCATTCGTTTTTCTTTATCTTTTTTTTCCCCTACTTGCTTCTATCATTTCTGGACCTTCAGCTTCATGTTAACTACCATTAGTCCACCCACAACTGTCTCACAAATGGACCACTGTGTCAGAATAATGTTATGGCTGTGTGACAACATTACCACAAGACACTGTCTCACAAATGGACCACAGTTGCAGAATAATGTTATGGCTGTGTGACAACATTACCACAAGACACTGTCTCACAAATGGACCACAGTTGCAGAATAATGTTATGGCTGTGTGACAACATTACCACAAGACACTGTCTCACAAATGGACCACAGTTGCAGAATAATGTTATGGCTGTGTGACAACATTACCACAAGACACTGTCTCACAAATGGACCACAGTTGCAGAATAATGTTATGGCTGTGTGACAACATTACCACAAGACACTGTCTCACAAATGGACCACAGTTGCAGAATAATGTTATGGCTGTGTGACAACATTACCACAAGACACTGTCTCACAAATGGACCACAGTTGCAGAATAATGTTATGGCTGTGTGACAACATTACCACAAGACACTGTCTCACAAATGGACCACAGTTGCAGAATAATGTTATGGCTGTGTGACAACATTACCACAAGACACTGTCTCACAAATGGACCACAGTTGCAGAATAATGTTATGGCTGTGTGACAACATTACCACAAGACACTGTCTCACAAATGGACCACAGTTGCAGAATAATGTTATGGCTGTGTGACAACATTATGAAAAGAGTTCAGGCCCATGCAGACTCAAACTGTGCAAAGACTGCGTGAATGTTGACTGTTGAAATGTCTGTATCAGTTTAAATACCTGTAAACGGAATTGGAATGATAGCCAAATAAATGCATAGAACAAGATATAATATATCCTAGTTTTTATTTTTTTTTTTAACTTGTCCATTGTTGACATTGATCTACTTGCAGTTATTGAACAGAACATAGAACAAGAAGAGCATACAAACAAGTCTTCAGCAGATCTCAGAATACGTAAAACACAGGTGACATCATTGATGTTCTTCATTTGTCAAACTGTTTAACTCCCTTGAACATGTTTAACATCAATTGGCTTATACTCTGAGCTTGTCTCAGCAATTAGATGTAATTTGCTGCAGCTGTCATCTCTGACTTTCATTAGTTGTTTTTTAAATGTTAATCTGGACATATAGTCAGCAAATGTTACTGTGTATGTTTAGTGTGATCCTGACCTATTCAGTTACAGTGAAGCAAGTAATAAATACCATAGGCTATCATCATCATCAAGTAGCAACATGTCACCATAATCACAGACCAGACTCTCAGGTCTGCTGCTAATTCCCTCATCTTACGCATCTTTATGCCCACAATAACCAGCATTGAATGCCTGGGAACGGCAGATAAAAGCAGAACATTATACACAACAATGAGAAGGAGACAAACGCAGTTCTTTGGTCATGAGCACTGGAAAATATTGTGATGACTGGAAAGATCACTGGTGGCAGAGGCAGACCAAGAGAAATGATGGCGGATGGCTCAAGACAGTGGCATGGAGGACTATCAGTAGAATGAACACCTACGCCAGCTGGCAAGGCAGTTGATGATGATGATGCTGAACCTTACATAGGATTCAAACCTGGGTCTCATGAATGAGAGTCCAGCATTCTAAACCATTGGGCCAGCCACAGCTCAGAAAATATATTCACCAGTGATAAACAATGGTTAACCCACTAACTACCAAGACAATAACTCTTGCATTTTCCCAGAGACCATGTGTTTTAGTGTGTACTAAAACTGCCCTAGCTTCACAACTAATTGATACAATCTCACAATATTTTGTATTTCTGCACCTAAATGAATGAAGAACAAATTTCAAGGGTAACAAGTTTTTATTCTGTTTGGCATCATCATCATGTGGCTGTAGATTGGTGCAAAAAAGGAAACCAAAAAATTGTTTAAATGACAACAATGTAGACTAATAAAAATGTCATATCTTCAAAAAATATTCAACGAACATCTATGACATTTTGTGTTTTTGTTCAAAATTGAACCCAGAACACATTTGAAGAAAAAGAATTGGGTTTACTTTGTCTAAAACAATCATCGTCATCATGTGGGTGTCGATTGTTGCAAAAAAGGCAACTGCAAATCTTTTTTATGATGACAGTATATACTAATAAAAATGTCATATCTTCTAAAATATTTAACAAACATTGTTTATATTAAGTATTTTTGCACAAAATTGAACCGAGAACACATATGAAGAAAAAAAAAAAAATGGGGTTTACTCTGAAATAATCATCATCATCATTGGCTGAAATAATAATCATCATCAAGTGGCTGTAAATTGTTGCAAAAAAGGCAACTTAAAAATCCTTTGTCTGACAATAATACAGACCACCATAAAATGTCAGAGCTTCACAACTGTTCAAGATCACTCATTCTATCTGATATCCAATGGTGAGTGAGTGAATAAATGGATGTATGCTCCAGGAGTCTGAAATAGACAGCTTTTTCATAACACCTGTGTGAAGCAACAGTACAAGAAACCCTCTCACTTCATCTGGGGTTGTGTGTTTCCAGTTCTTGGCAAAACAGCTGTCTGGTTTCTTTTCAGCATAACAGTTTGTTTCTTTAGCAAGCACAGCAAGAAGTTCTTTACTGAAGAAAATATCCAGTGGTTCATTTGTTCCTTCTGGCAGAAAAGACCCAGAAGTGCCAGTAAATACTCCAGGAAAGCCCTCCAAATCACAGTGCCAGTCATCAACCAGTGGGGGCGTGGCAAATCTTCCCCAGACTCACCAGATGACGATGACATGATAAAAACTTCGTCAATGTCTCACTGACATGGGAGCTAACTAAGCAAATTCGTCAAATATTTACTTTAAGCACTACAAAGCTATTTCCCTTAATTAATCATACAGAAGTGAATAAGCTCAAGGCTTCAACTAAATTCATCATAAAAGTTGCAATTTGAACACGACGGCGAGTGTCCAAAGCTACAGTCACAAGGAGTGCAACCTTGGTAGCTTGTTGGCATAACATGCAACACTCACTGGTAGTCAGTGGGTTCAATACTGAACTGACACTTGTCATAACATGCAACACTCACTGGTAGTCAGTGGGTTCACTACTGAACTGACACTTGTCATAACATGCAACACTCACTGGTAGTCAGTGGGTTCAATACTGAACTGACACTTGTCCAGCATCTAGTTGTAATAGAATGACACTATACATATTTAATGAGGTAATCACTGAGTTCTCATAAAAAATATATATTCACCATTATTATTGACCATCCTAACTTGTGTGGACAGCCATTGTTGTTGACCATCCCAACTTGAGTGGACAGCCATTGTTGTTGACCATCCTAACTTGTGTGGACAGCCATTGTTGTTGACCATCCTAACATGTGTGGACAGCCATTGTTGTTGACCATCCTAACATGTGTGGACAGCCATTGTTGTTGACCATCCTAACATGTGTGGACAGCCATTGTTGTTGACCATCCCAACTTGAGAGGACACCCATTGTTGTTGACCATCCTAACTTGTGTGGACAGCCATTGTTGTTGAACATCCTAACTTGAGTGGACAGCCATTGTTGTTGACCATCCTAACTTGTGTGGACAGCCATTGTTGTTGACCATCAAAACTTGTGTGGACAGCCATTGTTGTTGACCATTCTAACTTGTGTGGACAGCCATTGTTGTTGACCATTCTAACTTGTGTGGACAGCCATTGTTGTTGACCATCCTAACTTGTGTGGACAGCCATTGTTGTTGACCATTCTAACTTGTGTGGACAGCCATTGTTGTTGACCATTCTAACTTGTGTGGACAGCCATTGTTGTTCACAGCTTCTGTTCTCTGGTATCCTTGATTCATTCTTGTGCTGACATCTTCTATGGCTTGTTATAGGGAAGGGCACTTGCTATCTTTCTCTTTTTTCTTACTTTTCATTAAATTGTATGTTGACATGTTGTAACTGTTCTTGTGCTAAAGATTTTTTTTAAAATAATGTTACCACATAATTTTTTTTGGGGTGTGTGTTGACATCTCTGAAAACATTTGTTATTGCTGTTTGTACAGTTGTGAGATTGTTTGTTTAAAGGGGTGGAATGTTTTTTTTTATTTTCTGCGCAAACAGCATTTGTAGGACTAGAAGGGTCAGGCAGGAATACTTGTCTGAACTGATGTTGATGATTGTTATGTGAAACATTTGTGTCAACAGCATGCCACATTGTCTAGAAAGTTTGTGGAAGTCATGAATGACTACAACGCCTGTCAGATTGATTACAGGGAGCGCTGTAAGGGACGGATCAAACGACAGCTTGCAATTAGTAAGTTGTCTTCCTTTGTTCTCTTGAACTAACATTCTCTTTGTGAGTAGACAACACCAGAGGCAGCGGCCAGCTACTTGATGCATAAGTGAATTTTGGCAGCCTATTTGTAAATCAAGTAGACAGTTGCTCATTTCCTAGACTGATTTATTTTCATTTACTGATGTAATGACACAGAGAACACCAAATGTTTTGTATTGTGAATTTTACAAATATTTTGTTCTTTCATGTGATTCTGTTTGTCTTTATAAAGGATTGAGCGGACATATAGAATCTTGGTAGTCTTAGAAATTCTCAACGTTGCTACTAGAATCATGCAATCTGGGAATATTCTTTTGTGTCTAGGTTTTCTATTTTGAAATGTAGACATGATAGAAGCGCACGTGGCCTATTGTTGTCAGCTTGAAACTATGTATGGATTCATTGTATTAAAAAGCCTTCACCACCTGCATTTACCACTGTTTATGGCAGTGTAGGACCGGAACGGGGGGGGGGGGGGGGGGGGGTCTTGAGCATTAGGATTCAAGGCTGCATGGCTAGTGGTGTCACTGTGATCTCCACATAAAAGGATGTTTATTCTTGCTCTCTACAAAAAAAGACTTCCATTAACTTAGCCAAGATTAAAGCCAGCCATTTATCCATGAACTATATACAGTTCTACAAACGTGTCTATTTTTTATTTAGTAATTTTTCTTTCAGCCTTATGGTTTTCCAATATGGTTTAAGGTTAGTGATAAGCTGCTTCCAAGTTTCCAAGGCGCACTCGCACACACACACTCACACACACACGCACGCACGCACGCGTGCGCGCGCCGCAGCCCACGGCCGGTGGTTGAAACCGAGTCGCTCCTGGGGTTCACCCAGCCTCTAGGAAATGGGTACCAGAGTGATACTCTGGGGTAAAAGGAGGAACGTCGCTGTAGCTACAGAGTTACATGCGAACTGTGACACAGGCAGACTATTCTTATCAGCTGTCCGTACTGGTGGCAGAGCACTTATGGTTTATAATGTGTGCAGTGACGCTGGTTCACATCTCCCGACTTTACCTTTATATATATATATATATATATATATATATATATATATATATATATATATATATATATATATATATATATATATATATATATATATATATATATATAATATTATATATATATATATATATATATATATATATGTATATATATATATATATATATATATATATATATATATATATATGTATGTATGTAGGTAGAGCTGAATGTAGATCTGGAAGATGTTGACAGTCAAGATTATTGTTTTATTTTAAGAGTGGTGCACAATGTTGATAGAATCACTCATGTTGAGCTTTGGGTGAGAACTGAATAGGTTCCAGTAGAGCAAGAGCTGAAGAAATGATGCTGGCATTGGTTAGGACACACAGTGAGAAAACCTAAGAACAGTATAACTAGAATTTCTGCATTGAAACCTACAGGGCCATAGAAATGAAGATTGACCTGTTCAAATAATTTTTTTTTGTCTGCAAACAAACACTTCACTGCATAATCTTGTGCAAGATTTGTTAGCCTTTCATTCATGGTTCCCAAGTGCTGCACTATCTTATAGGGGTTTTAGCAGATGCGTTCATTCCCATGTGTCGACGTCTCTACACACCGGTACTCCAGTAGATGTCTATGCCTTCAGCTCTGCCTCTTTGTTTCTCTTCTTTGCCTTTCTTCACATGCTTCATGCATACATTCACAGCAACTAGGCTGCACAGACTCGTGGGACTTAAGCTGCATACACTAGTGGGAACTAGACTGCATAACCTCGTGGGACCTAGGCTGCATACACTAGTGGGAACTAGGCTGCATAACCTCGTGGAACCTAGGCTGCATACACTAGTGGGAACTAGGCTGCATACACTAGTGGGAACTAGGCTGCATACACTAGTAGGAACTAGGCTGCATACACTAGTGGGAACTAGGCTGCATACACTAGTGGGAACTAGGCTGCATACACTAGTGGGAACTAGGCTGCATACACTAGTAGGAACTAGGCTGCATAACCTCGTGGGACCTAGGCTGCATACACTAGTGGGAACTAGGCTGCATACACTAGTGGGAACTAGGCTGCATACACTAGTAGGAACTAGGCTGCATACACTAGTGGGAACTAGGCTGCATACACTAGTGGGAACTAGGCTGCATACACTAGTAGGAACTAGGCTGCATACACTAGTGGGAACTAGGCTGCATACACTAGTGGGAACTAGGCTGCATACACTAGTGGGAACTAGGCTGCATACACTAGTAGGAACTAGGCTGCATAACCTCGTGGGACCTAGGCTGCATACACTAGTGGGAACTAGGCTGCATAACCTCGTGGAACCTAGGCTGCATACACTAGTGGGAACTAGGCTGCATACACTAGTGGGAACTAGGCTGCATACACTAGTAGGAACTAGGCTGCATACACTAGTGGGAACTAGGCTGCATACACTAGTGGGAACTAGGCTGCATACACTAGTGGGAACTAGGCTGCATACACTAGTAGGAACTAGGCTGCATAACCTCGTGGGACCTAGGCTGCATACACTAGTGGGAACTAGGCTGCATAACCTCGTGGAACCTAGGCTGCATACACTAGTGGGAACTAGGCTGCATAACCTCGTGGGAACTAGGCTGCAAACACTAGTGGGAACTAGGCTGCATAACCTTGTGGGACCTAGGCTGCATACACTAGTGGGAACTAGGCTGCATAACCTCGTGGGAACTAGGCTGCAAACACTAGTGGGAACTAGGCTGCATAACCTTGTGGGAACTAGGCTGCATACACTAGTAGGAACTAGGCTGCATAACCTCGTGGGACCTAGGCTGCATACACTAGTGGGAACTAGGCTGCATAACCTCGTGGGAACTAGGCTGCAAACACTAGTGGGAACTAGGCTGCATAACCTTGTGGGACCTAGGCTGCATACACTAGTGGGAACTAGGCTGCATAACCTCGTGGGAACTAGGCTGCAAACACTAGTGGGAACTAGGCTGCATAACCTCGTGGGAACTAGGCTGCATACACTAGTAGGAACTAGGCTGCATAACCTCGTGGGAACTAGGCTGCATACACTAGTGGGACCTAGGCTGCATACACTAGTGGGAACTAGGCTGCATACACTAGTGGGAACTAGGCTGCATACACTAGTGGGAACTAGGCTGCATACACTAGTGGGACCTAGGCTGCATAACCTTGTGGGACCTAGGCTGCATAACCTCGTGGAACCTAGGCTGCATACACTAGTGGGAACTAGGCTGCATACACTAGTGGGAACTAGGCTGCATACACTAGTAGGAACTAGGCTGCATACACTAGTGGGAACTAGGCTGCATACACTAGTGGGAACTAGGCTGCATACACTAGTAGGAACTAGGCTGCATAACCTCGTGGGAACTAGGCTGCATACACTAGTGGGACCTAGGCTGCATAACCTCGTGGGACCTAGGCTGCATACACTAGTGGGACCTAGGCTGCATACACTAGTGGGAACTAGGCTGCATAACCTTGTGGGACCGAGGCTGCACTCTCTCATAAGACATAGGCTGAGGCTGTGGGGTAGGGGGCTTCAGGTTAGGGCCACTTTCCAGTTCTAGATGTTTTGGAATCGTTAAAACTGTTTACAACTTGGGGAATACAGAATGCTTAGATTGTTGACAATAACACAGCATGATACCCCTTGAAGATAGAGCAGCCCGTGGGAAAGTTCACGGCTCATGAATGGAAGGTCAAGAAATCTCGCGCCACGACGTGAAGTGGTTGTTTGCGGACTAAAATGTTACTTGTACCGACAGACTAAAATGTTACTAGTACCGACAGACTAAAATGTTACTAGTACCGACAGACTAAAATGTTACTTGTACCGACAGACTAAAATGTTACTTGTACCGACAGATTAAAATGTTACTTGTACCGACAGACTAAAAAGTTACTAGTACCGACAGACTAAAATGTTACTAGTACCGACAGACTAAAATGTTACTAGTACCGACAGACTAAAATGTTACTAGTACCGACAGACTAAAATGTTACTTGTACCGACAGACTAAAATGTTACTAGTACCGACAGACTAAAATGTTACTAGTACCGACAGACTAAAATCAAAACAAATGGATAAGGGAGTTAGAGAGTGAGTTTAAAAACGATGATGAGGACATGGGGTGAGCTGCATGCAATAGTCACGGACAGTGTCAGTTGGTTGAGGGCCTATGCTGAATTGGGGGATAGAAGGTAGAAGAAAAATAAGTGCACAATGTTTACTGCTTGCATTTATTGTGTGACTCAGAGGGCAACAAAATGAACACAAACATGTGTGCACCTTCAGGTCACAAACATGTGTGCACCTTCCGGTAGCATCTAGCAAGTCCATGGACATGCCTGAAATAAACCTACTTGTTTGTTTTCAGCTGGTAAAACAACAACCAACGAGGAACTAGAAGACATGATTGAGTCGGGAAATCCTGCCATATTTACTCAAGGGGTGAGAAAATCATAATGTGACAATTTCTGAACACTTCTCCATCTCCTCTATTACTCCTTCTCCTCCTCTATTACTCCTTCTCCTCCTCTGTTACTCCTTCTCCTCCTCTGTTACTCCTTCTCCTCCTCTGTTACTCCTTCTCCTCTATTACTCCTTCTCCTCCTCTATTACTCCTTCTCCTCCTCTATTACTACTTCTCCTCCTCTATTACTCCTCATCCTCTATTACTCCTTCTCCTCCTCTATTACTCCTCATCCTCTATTACTCTTTCTCCTCCTCTATTACTCCTCATCCTCTATTACTCTTTCTCCTCCTCTATTACTCCTCATCCTCTATTACTCTTTCTCCTCCTCTATTACTCCTTCTCCTCCTCTATTACTCCTTCTCCTCCTCTGTTACTCCTCATCCTCTATTACTCCTTCTCCTCCTCTATTACTCCTTCTCCTCCTCTATTACTCCTTCTCCTCCTCTATTACTCCTTCTCCTCTATTACTCCTTCTCCTCCTCTATTACTCCTTCTCCTCCTCTATTACTCCTCCTCCTCCTCTATTACTCCTCCTCCTCTATTACTCCTTCTCCTCCTCTATTACTCCTTCTCCTCCTCTATTACTCCTTCTCCTCCTCTATTACTCCTTCTCCTCCTCTATTACTCCTTCTCCTCCTCTATTACTCATTCTCATCCTCTATTACTCCTTCTCCTCTATTACTCCTTCTCCTCCTCTATTACTCCTTCTCCTCCTCTATTACTCCTTCTCCTCCTCTATTACTCCTCATCCTCTATTACTCCTTCTCCTTCTCTATTACTCCTTCTCCTCCTCTATTACTCCTTCTCCTCCTCTATTACTCCTTCTCCTCCTCTATTACTCCTTCTCCTCCTCTATTACTCCTCATCCTCTATTATTCCTTCTCCTCCTCTATTGCTCCTCATCCTCTATTACTCCTTCTCCTCCTCTATTACTCCTTCTCCTTCTCTATTACTCCTTCTCCTCCTCTATTACTCTTTCTCCTCCTCTATTACTCCTCATCCTCTATTACTCCTTCTCCTCCTCTATTACTCCTTCTCCTCCTCAATTACTCCTTCTCCTCCTCTATTACTCCTTCTCCTCCTCTATTACTCCTTTTCCTCCTCTATTACTCCTCATCCTCTATTACTCCTTCTCCTCCTCTATTACTCCTTCTCCTTCTCTATTACTCCTTCTCCTTCTCTATTACTCCTTCTCCTCCTCTATTACTCCTTCTCCTCCTCTATTACTCCTTCTCCTCCTCTATTACTCCTCATCCTCTATTACTCTTTCTCCTCCTCTATTACTCCTCATCCTCTATTACTCCTTCTCCTCCTCTATTACTCCTCCTTCTCCTCTATTACTCCTTCTCCTCCTCTATTACTCCTTCTCCTCCTCTATTACTACTTCTCCTCCTCTATTACTCCTCATCCTCTATTACTCCTTCTCCTCCTCTATTACTCCTCATCCTCTATTACTCTTTCTCCTCCTCTATTACTCCTCATCCTCTATTACTCTTTCTCCTCCTCTATTACTCCTCATCCTCTATTACTCTTTCTCCTCCTCTATTACTCCTTCTCCTCCTCTATTACTCCTTCGCCTCCTCTGTTACTCCTCATCCTCTATTACTCCTTCTCCTCCTCTATTACTCCTTCTCCTCCTCTATTACTCCTTCTCCTCCTCTATTACTCCTTCTCCTCTATTACTCCTTCTCCTCCTCTATTACTCCTTCTCCTCCTCTATTACTCCTCCTCCTCCTCTATTACTCCTCCTCCTCTATTACTCCTTCTCCTCCTCTATTACTCCTTCTCCTCCTCTATTACTCCTTCTCCTCCTCTATTACTCCTTCTCCTCTATTACTCCTTCTCTTCCTCTATTACTCATTCTCATCCTCTATTACTCCTTCTCCTCTATTACTCCTTCTCCTCCTCTATTACTCCTTCTCCTCCTCTATTACTGCTTCTCCTTCTCTATTACTCCTTCTCCTCCTCTATTACTCATTCTCATCCTCTATTACTCCTTCTCCTCTATTACTCCTTCTCCTTCTCTATTACTCCTTCTCCTCCTCTATTACTCCTTCTCCTCCTCTATTACTCCTTCTCCTCCTCTATTACTCCTTCTCCTCCTCTATTACTCCTCATCCTCTATTATTCCTTCTCCTCCTCTATTGCTCCTCATCCTCTATTACTCCTTCTCCTCCTCTATTACTCCTTCTCCTTCTCTATTACTCCTTCTCCTCCTCTATTACTCCTCATCCTCTATTACTCTTTCTCCTCCTCTATTACTCCTCATCCTCTATTACTCCTTCTCCTCCTCTATTACTCCTTCTCCTCCTCAATTACTCCTTCTCCTCCTCTATTACTCCTTCTCCTCCTCTATTACTCCTTTTCCTCCTCTATTACTCCTCACCCTCTATTACTCCTTCTCCTCCTCTATTACTCCTTCTCCTTCTCTATTACTCCTTCTCCTCCTCTATTACTCCTTCTCCTCCTCTATTACTCCTTCTCCTCCTCTATTACTCCTCATCCTCTATTACTCTTTCTCCTCCTCTATTACTCCTCATCCTCTATTACTCCTTCTCCTCCTCTATTACTCCTTCTTCTCCTCTATTACTCCTTCTCCTCCTCTATTACTCCTTCTCCTCCTCTATTACTCCTTCTCCTCCTCTATTACTCCTTCTCCTCCTCTATTACTCCTCATCCTCTATTACTCCTTCTCCTCCTCTATTACTCCTTCTTCTTCTCTATTACTCCTTTTCCTCCTCTATTACTCCTCATCCTCTATTACTCTTTCTCCTCCTCTATTACTCCTTCTCCTCCTGCTCACAGTATTCTCAGAGTTATATGTTGGTGAAACCAGACCCATGTAAGAATATTGAATTGCCTTCTGGTCAACCACTCCTGAATACAATATTGTTCAAAGATTGACTGATACAATATTGTTCAAAGATTGACTGATACAATATTGTTCAAAGATTGACTGATACAATATTGTTCAAAGATTGACTGATACAATATTGTTCAAAGATTGACTGATACAATATTGTTCAAAGATTGACTGAATACAATATTGTTCAAAGATTGACTGATACACTGACAAGTCAAACTATTCATATTTTGGATGGTCCAGACCTCTAACATTTGATGGTTTGCAGAAGATATATATTCAATCATCCTCCAGAAATACACATTCAGATGAGCCCAATCAAACACTGAAACAAGGCAGTCCCTTCTGAATACTATATAGTCATACAAATGTCTGACTCCTGCATGCATACACACTGTTATCTAGATGGCATGTAATCTTAGTGATAAGTACCACTTTTGGAAACAAAACAGATTCTTACTCCTTCTTCTGCATTATTTCTAAAAAATAGGCATGTTGTGGTCTACAGCTAAGCTGGGATATCTAAAGATTTTGAACAAATCATCTGACAAACAACACAGATTTAATTGGAAGACATAATTTATTAAGTATATTAATACTTCTTATAATATATTGATTCATTCATTATCCTGTTATGACATTATATGTCACATAGGGCTCGCAAATCTTTTCATCCATTCCTTTCTAACATACAATCACTTTGATATCATAGATAGAATCTATTCCAGCATCTTTGACTTCTCTTATCAACATTTACCATAAGGTTTCTTTTTGACATCCTTATTTCCTCAGTCTCTCTGTTTCCATATTAATGCCTGTTTGGTGATTCTCTGCCTCTTCTCAGGATGTGTCCGTTATAGCACCATCTTCTCTGTCCTTGGTGATTCTTTGTCTCTTCTCAGGATGTGTCCATTATAGCACTATCTTCTCTGTCCTTGGTGATTCTCTGTCTCTTTTCAGGATGTGTCCATTATAGCACTATCTTCTCTGTCCTTGGTGATTCTCTACCTCTTATCATGAGGTGTCCATTATAGCACCATCTTCTCTGTCCTTGGTGATTCTTTGCTTCTTCTCAGGATGTGTCCATTATAGCACCATCTTCTCTGTCCTTGGTGATTCTCTGCTTCTTCTCAGGATGTGTCCGTTATAGCACCATCTTCTCTGTCCTTGGTGATTCTTTGCTTCTTCTCAGGATGTGTCCATTATAGCACCATCTTTTCTATCCTTGGTGATTCTCTGCTTCTTCTCAGGATGTGTCCATTATAGCACCATCTTCTCTATCCTTGGTGATTCTCTGCTTCTTCTCAGGATGTGTCCATTATAGCACCATCTTCTCTGTCCTTGGTGATTCTCTGTCTCTTCTCAGAATGTGTCCATTATAGCACCATCTTCTCTGTCCTTGGTGATTCTCTACCTTTTCTCAGAATGTGTCCATTATAGCACTATCTTCTCTGTCCTTGGTGATTCTTTGCTTCTTCTCAGGATGTGTCCATTATAGCACTATCTTCTCTGTCCTTGGTGATTCTTTGTCTCTTCTCAGAATGTGTCCATTATAGCACTATCTTCTGTGTCCTTGGTGATTCTCTACCTTTTCTCAGAATGTGTCCGTTATAGCACCATCTTCTTTGTCCTTGGTGATTCTCTGTCTCTTTTCATGATGTGTCCATTATAGCACCATCTTCTCTGTCCTTGGTGATTCTCTACTTCTTATCATGATGTGTCCATTATAGCACCATCTTCTCTGTCCTATTACTCTTCTTGAATTCATCCATTTTATGTTCATCATTTTCCTTAGGCATTTGTTTTCTATTGAAGTTAACTTTTGTACCATATCTTAAGTGTTTGTCATTTTCATTGTCAAATGTTAAAACTGAAATTAAATTAGAATTGAAAATACATAACATGGTTCTAAAACTGTGTCATTTAGAGTTCCATATTTTCTTCAGGCTTTTCAATGCCGCGGATGCCTTGCCAGCATGTCATAATTGCTTATTTGTGTGTGTTTTCTTGACTATTAATGTTACTGTCTACAAAAAAGAAACCCAACTAATCTGTTATTTCAATTCTTGTTGTCTCAAGTGTTACACCTTTGTGATCTGTTATTGGTGTCTT